ATAGCCGACAACGAAATTTTGATATGTAACCGAAAGAAAAAACATTAGTTTTATTTGAAACAGTCTAATCCAAGAATGATAGAATACAAGATTGCGCCGATCAGAGAGGATTTTTGAGAATAACTTTTGTGTGACGTCACACTGGTGCAATTGCGAGAGAGAAATGCCAAAACGTGAGCAAGAATGGAAGAAGAAGAAANCTTTTTTCATGTAAAATTCTTACTTTTGCGAGCACTAACTAAAAAATGGAGATAGAGGGCTGAAATTATTTTTTTTATAGCCGACAACGAAATTTTGATTTGTAACCGAAAGAAAAAACATTAGTTTTATTTGAAACAGTCTAATCTACATACATATGTATGTGTGTATGCATGTAGGTACACTTTGACGTCACCAATGACTGAATGAAATATTAAAGCGTCACCGAAGCGCTTGAAATAGATTTCTTCCAATATCTATATATGTATGTTGCTAAATGTTATTACAAATATATATTCGAATTTTTAAAGCATGCACTTACATATATACATGTAGAAGACATACCTACTGGAAATATTTAACTCTATGGAAAAAATTTGGTTTGGTATTGATAAGATTTTTACAAGTTGAACTAAAATTAGAAATGGCTTTTACTTATCGTTCTACAATCGATTGTCATAGGAATAGAGACTTGTAATTTTATTGGCATTTCAAAATGCCGGTCTTAACATTTAAACTATAAAATACTTTGAAAGTTTTTTTAAATGCTAAATTGTCATACTTCTCCCTGTCGGAAAGAGCAACAATAAAAATGAGAAAATAAATAGTCCTTAAAACGCCATGTCCTTTCTAATTTCGTCGGACAGCCTACCATTATTTATAGACAAAAACTTTTATCATCGTAAATATATCTAAGCGGCGTGGAAAAAGAAAATGTCTCAAAATAACTAAAAGAAAACTTATTTTCTTCAAAACTCGTGAATGGATTTCTAACTGAATATACTAAGTAGGAGTAGATTTCATTATAAGAATATAATTTTTTTTCTTTTTTTCAAGAATTGCGCTATTCGTCCCTATTACTCGGTCCAGATTATTCTCCATCAAATGCGCCACCGGTATCGCCATTCGAAAGCTTAGAAAAGTGATTATTCCATAACTGAAGTATACCCTGGACATACGTTTCCCGGCCCGGAGTCGAAACCATCTACTTGTCATTTGCTAATAGAATCTTCGAACCGCATTCCTCATTCAGCATTTTGTCAGCACTTTGTGCTCCTCGCACTCACATTTTCTTTTCGTCTACTCGAAAAGGTGTCTATCCTTCCTCAAGTAGGTCAGGTAGGCTAATTAGTAAGGCAGTCAATCAGTTGGTCAGATAGGCTCTTGTGGCTAAAAGTTTTAATGATTAAAACACGACCTTTTCGCGGCCAGAGACACAACACATTTTCTCGCACACATGTATGTACATATATATATATGTACAAATATATTTACATAAATATAAATGCCGTACATTGACAGACCTATGTAAATACATATGTAAACAACGAGTTGGTTTATTCAATGTCCGCGCCCCGTTCATGGTTAATCGAATAAAAAAAAAAAGCACGGAATAAAAAGTGAGAACGAAAAATATAGTATTGATGGCATTCCATTGATGAGATCATTTTTTTGCGATTACCTCATAACCCGAATTTAAAAACGTACATAGGTACATAAATATTTCACTGATGCCTGTACTCCAGTGTTCATACGTATTTACGTTCTTATATACAACAATACGTGCATACAACAAATAAATATGTTTGTTTACTTGAATTTACAATGGAATTGGAGTCAAACTTGTTGACGCGGTGTGTGTTGAAGAATCACAACAATTAATAAATAGCAATAGCGAAGAATGCGCGATAAAACAGATACGGTTGCGCAAATATATTGTTTTGGAGCTTATTATTTTGTAACGAATACCTGGAGGGTACTATAGGTAGGTATATATATGGTATATCGGATCATATATGTATGTATGTATGTATTTTTGGCATGTGCTCCATACATATGTATGCATGCATTTATGTGATTTGTTTATTCAATTTGCGTATCAAAAAGCACCGAAAGTGTTTAGTCGGTTGGACAGCATTAAATAATAAAACAAAAATATTTTTAAAAGGTAACATATACCGTAAATAGCAACGGAAGATATTATAGAGTAAACATGTCACGTTTCAACCACGATTCATTTATACGCACGTACATATGTATGTATGTACATTAGGGTTGTCCAAAAATGCACGGGAAAAAGTAATGTCGAAATTTTTAGGCTCTCACTCCCTAGGATTGTTCTGTACCGGAAAAAAATTCACCCTTATTTTTTATTTTGAAATCAAAAAATATTTACAGGTCGCTCAAAGCGCTTAAGTTTCCCATGTATTTTATACTAGTAGACCCGCCCAAATTTATTTCCTTATTCAAATATTTGGTAAAAAGTTTTCACCACAATTCACATTCATATTTGGTATTGTGGTCGTCAGAAAACATATCCTCCATTGCCATCTTAGAATGGACGTTTAGAATTCTTGAAAAGCAATATAATTCGATCGGAATACTCTGCTTCCCTTCAGGAGATTCTCATTAATAATACCAAATTATTTATTTAAAAAATTTTTCGTAGTAACTATATTTTATAGGTAGGCTAAAACCCCCAGAAATAAACAATTGGGTATTATTATTGGAAGTCTCCTGCACAGAATCATTTTCAAGAATTCGCTACCATTTCTACAAAAAGTTGTTTTTTCCCATATAAAATGCATTCAAAACTTTGAGCGTTTTGAGCGACCTCTAAATATTTTTTGATTTAAAAAAAATTAGGTTCTATTTTTTCCGGTATATAACAATACTAGGGGGTTAGAGCATAAAAATTCCAACTTTACTTGTTTTGGATCACCCTAATGCACATACATACGTATATATGAGGCTCCATTCGTGGTGGCTCATCTAACTTTTCAAATGGCATAGCGTTTACAAAACTAAAATTGCTTAAACATTCCTTTTTGATTACATTCTTTGTAAACAAGAATTGCTTCGCAAATGTTAATGGGTTCTCTTATCAAAATGCTAATTTTTTGCGAGCGAAAAAACCTGCCAATTAACGAAGAATTTCTTATTAATTGTGTGCCTCTATGTATTTATGTATGCACATATGTACTCCTTATCTTTGTTGCTTTTTTCTCGGTTTGCTGATAAAAAAATGAATCAATATTTTTAAGTGGAAATACACAATTTTTTACAGTTATTAAAAGGGTTGAATGATGTCAGTTTCCATGTATAAAAATACACATCTACATACGATTTCGCCCTCCCACACTTTATGTGTCTACGCGCGCAGTCTTTGATCTCTCGACCTATGCACATAGAGAATGCTGCCTTGCTGTTATCAGAGAAAGCCGGTCGATTGGGGAGGACCGGCATTGAGCAGTGTCTTTTAATTATAACATATGCACTTAACGCAAATACATACATGTGTATGTATGTACAAAAATATGTAATAAAAATAGGTCAGGGACTTTTTGAACTCCAGAATTTCTTGCTGTTGCAGCTGATACAAAGTTTGAAATATTAATTTATATGGTGTTGTATACCCAGCTACACTTTTATAAAAAAATAATAAACATCAAATAAACAAAAGAATAGAATAGTCAAAACTGGTCAAATCATCGCACTTATATTATTTCGTGCAGATATATATGTACATATGTATGTACGTACGCATGTATGTGTATGAATTTTTGCTTGTCTCACTTAGCGTTCGCCAAAATCAATTAAAAATATTTTTAGTATTTACTCAAAAAATATATATGTACCTACATACATACATAGTAAACATAGTACTTTTAGTTTTTTTCGTGGGTGTGCGAAAAATATTTGTGTACATACATATTTGAAAACTATTTTTACTTGCACAAATATATATACATATGTATGTACATATGTACCTATATAATTTGAGTGCACTTGCAAAAGATGATGACTATTATTGCATGCTTAATGATTCCGCAAAGTAATAATTTCACGTTGTTGTCGAAAAGGACAAGTTTAGGTCAGACTTTCAATTTTAATTAAATTTTTTTAAAGGTTATTAATTTGATGGCTAATTTTGAAGGTTAATACAAAACACATACATGTATGTATTTTTCGTTGTATTTTATTAGTATACATATTTACGTACAGCAAACAATTTCCTGATTTGAATTTTTCAATGCAAAATTTTATTTTTTAAGTGTGTCAGTATGAGCCTATTTCTTTTACTCTAAAAAGAGGCATCTAAAGTTATCTATGAATAGCTTTTATTTATAAAAATATTTTTAACTTTACAACCAAATAAATACATATGTAGGTAAAAATAAACTTTGGGGTTTGTCATTGCCTCAGGCAACATACTGCCGACATGATAAGTTTCCCATCGGCAAGCACAATAGATCAGGGGTGCCCAGCCCATAGATTATCAGTAGGTTTGTAGGTAGTAGTTGTCTTCAAGGTTTTTGTAAACTCCTACTTTCGTTATGGGTATTCATATAAACGCGTAAATGCCTCGTAAACACGTTGATAAACCGCTGAAACAAATCAGCTGGAATAAATCTGCTGGAACATTTTGTGCAAGAGAAAAAAAGAGATTTTAGTTGTGGATCAAAACAGGCTTATGACAAAATCATGAACGTCTAACCAAAAAAAATAATATAAAATAAAAAAATAAATAATAGGGGCATTCATCTAATGTCATAAACTGCCGTCTAACGTGATGAAATTATGAACTGGTATGGAATTTATAATTCTATCAAGTTTATCGCCAGTTTCTCACTTTAGATAAATACCCCTATCGTTTATCCGTTAGCATTAAGGAAAATAAAAAACTATTAAATTTCAAAACTTTAAATTTCTGTGCTTTCCTTTGGCGTAGCAACGCCCGCCGGGTTTCGCTAGTTGAAATATTAAATTTAAAAATTTTTTTCTTCTCTCTTCTTTTGCAGCAACTGATCAGAAACTTTCTCAGCACTACCAAGGAATTGAGCAAACAACTTAAAAATGTCTCACTCAGTGACAATCACCAGAACGACCACCAGCACCACGAGCACATCCTATATTGTGCTTAATACTGGATACTTGAAGACATTTCCGGGATTATTGAAACTTTTCGAGCTGGTAAGTGTTGTAAAACGGTTGTTCGTTTTTTTGCGGGGAATTGATGAACAAGTGTTTCTGAAAGTCTGGTTGTGCATAGAAAAGTAATTTCTCTGCTTTCCCATATTGGCGATTTTAACCGATTTGCTTTTAATTTTGAAGTTGATGGCCGCAGAGGAGCATTTATTTATAAAATAAAATTGATTTAAATGCAAATATGTATATTTAACAACAAAAGACCTTTTTTCGGGTTTTCGGGTACAACCATGGATCAAAAATAACAGTTATTTTTCGAAATTTTAGTTCAAACAGTCAGACGGAAAGAATTTGTATCCAAGATAATATGTCCTATTATGACATTTGAGCTTGTTAGCTAAGGAGTATTAATCTTGAATGGTGTAAGTTTTTTTGATTTCTTTTTTTCAAAAAAGTCAACAATTTATTGTTACGTTTTTACTTTTATTTTTTTCAGTCAGGAATAACAATTAAAATTTGACTTTTATTTTTTTCAATCTAATGCCAAATTTCTACTAGGCATTCAAATGACGAAAAATGTGTGCCATTTAAAAAATTTAATTTGTGTAATTTAATGCCTAGTGGAAATTCGGTATTATGCCGAATTTCCTCTGGGCATTGAAATGATAAAAAACTATTTTTTGAACGTAATGACACGATTATTTTTTAATGCCCAACTTTGTTATTACAATTTTTGCAGTTAATGCCCAGTGGAAATCAAGCATAAGAAAACACTTACATAAAATTTTACTTGTATTTTTTTTTACTATAAAATATCAGTTAAAATTTAACTTTTTTTTACCGATCAGAAATAAAAGTTAAAACTTGAATTTTATTTTTCCGATAAAAAATTAAAGTTAAAATTTAGTCGCTTGTAAACAATGATAACACCGTGCGACAGTAAATTATACACACACAAAAACTTATATATTCGCGAAAATATGGGCAAAACTGTGTTTTTAATTTTTCACTCTGACGTCAGGATTTTTTTAAAGGACTTTGAAATGTCAAATATATGATTAATTCAAAAAATTATTAAAAAAGTTCAGTGCGATGTAGATTAACAATGTGGGTATCAAACAAAAGAGAAAATCCTGCAAAATTAAAAAATATTAAATTGTTCGGTGCTTAAAAGCGCATTTAGAATACCTATTTGTCCTTGTAACCCAAAAAGCTTTAATGTTTTTCAAATCTAAAGAATTTCCTCTCTAATTTGATACCCTGATTTTTTAAAATAATTTTTTGAATTTATCATTTCTTAAAACTTACAAAGTCCTTTAAAAAAATCCTGACGTCAGATTGAAAAACTAAGAACGCAGCTTTACGATATTTGGCCCACTGTTCGGTGCACATTTGCACACATATATATGTATATGTATTACATATATATATTTTTCAAAGATATGTTTATTTTTATTGTATTACAGCTTATTGGAGCCGCCATAGTTGGCATCTTCAGCTATTACTTCAACAGAACCGGTACGTCGAATGAAATCTTCATGTTCCTCATGGCCACAACATTCTTGATAGGAACATTTTGCCTACTGCTAGCATGTTTAACGTCGCTTAGTACGGGTGGTATCATATCCAAAACCATCTATGTGAGTACTCGTAATTTGTACACGTTTGCCTATGTAATGTATAGGACCTAACTAATAACGACCACTCTTTTCTCCATATCAGGAACTCATTTATCATAGCGTTGCGGCCATTTTGCTGCTCATCGCCTCGGTGCTCCTCGTAATAGAATTGAACGACAGACATTTTAGGTACGGTAAGCAGTACGAAACTTACATGGCTGCCGGCATTATGGGTCTCGTCAATGCGGTTCTCTACTTTATCAGCGCGTTCTTGGCTCACCGATCATATCGTGGCATCTAATCTCGCCGAGCTGACCACAAGAAACTGGATTCCCCCTGGTGGTGTGGTGACGTTTCCAAAGGTGTTCATTGCAGGAAATCGTCTTTTATGATGGTAAATTAAGTTAAAATAATTTTGTAGTTGTATTTATGTTCTAAGTAAAAAACACAACTTGGAAAAAATTAGCATTTTTATAGCCATACACAGTCTGTGCTAAAGTGAAAAGCGATTGAATTCGAAAAACCAAATACACATACACACACACATATATTGACTAACTATACACATTTTTTCTTTTTAATGTACTCGTACAATTAAGTAATAAACATACATATATTAATTGTAAGTGCAAATGAAAATTTTTTATGATTTTTACAAATACTCGTCCAATGCATACATTTTATTATACGATATTCTAACAGAAATAAATATTTTGTGTAAAATGTATTTTTATGTAATTTTCGAATAAAAACTTCTCAAAGTTTATTTTTCTTTAGTGGTATCAAATTCAAACGTTTGGGAATGAATGAAGTAAGTGTAAAGCCCAAAATATTTTGGTTTTAATTTATGCCAAACATTTAAACAGTTTTTGTGGCAAAAAGTCGTTTTTCGTATTTGATAAAGAAAACTTCACACGAAATAACAGTTTTTTAACCAACGAAATGTGAGCAAAGTCATTGTTTGTGAGTGAAATATTAAATCGATTTTGTGTTGTTTTTTTTAGCTATTTTCGCACAACCATATTAAAGTTAATAATTACACTGGTTTGCAGCAAAAATGTTCAATGGATGCCACTATTGCTCGCTGATTCCGAAAACCGAGTTAATTTTTTCTATGGATAAGATTTCGAGATATTTGCAATTTACCGTTATTCAGTTAAAAAAGTGGCCCACTTAATTACGGAAAAAGGAATGAGTGGTCGAATGAAAATGCGTAGAATTTTTTGTATGAAAGATGAGCAGTAATGAGTGTACAAGGCGTATGAGTAACATTATTTCCTGTAAATTTTCTAAAAAAAAAAATGTTTGCACATTTTTTTATTTGCTCATCGATTTTCTTCATTAGTACCTTGATTTTTTTAACAGTTCAAGCTTTAACACAATTTAAAAAATTTAAAGCGATTTGTAATTTTTTAAATTTTTTCTGAATTTGAATTGTATAATTGTTTTAATTCTTTCGTTAA